CACACACACACACACACACACATATATATATAATATAGACACACATTAGCAAAAATATTGGGTAAAAAAGTGTGAAACATATACCATTTTTTGCCTAAATATACATTAAATAATTGTACCTAATGGGAAAAATGGTTGTAAAAAGAAAATAAACTTACAGACCAACACGCTGTGGAGCTGCCAAAGAAAACCTCTTCTGACAAATGGTGTTTGGACAAGTTGTACTGTTACTGCAAATTCATTTTCTTATTTCTAAGCTAACAGAGCTGGTCTTACATTTCTTGTTTTATTATATACCTCATAAATCTCTGAAATTGCTTTCAGGTATTTTTAGGCCATGCTGTGCCATAAGCAGAATTTTCAAGCATGCATCTTACTTAGTTGCCGTTTGGGCTTCTGGGCAGTATATTTTATATTCTTTGCTTTTTTCCTCCCATCTTGTCAGATAATAGAGCTGCGGGAATGTGATGGGTTTTATTGATAATACAAACTTTAGGGAATTCCGATTTAAATGTATTCTTTCTGGTTTGAAACTGGATCTCAGGAGAAAAAAAAGACAAAAGCATTGATCATAATGTGACTCTTAGTTGTAATAGGCTTTAAAAGATAATTTGTAGAGGAGAGAATATAGAATAGCTCTTAGACATTAACTGTGGTGGATGTGTGGCTCTCTTATCTTTTGCTTTGATATCTTTTCTCAGATAAATAATTCAAAATGTTTCAAAGGATAGCTGCTTCTTTTAATGCTTGGCACTGCAGCTGCACATTAACATTGACAGGAGTTCTGTTCTCTGGCCTTGTCCATCTATTTCAGATGTATATGGCCACTTAGGGTTCATTTAACTCAAGACTTGTTTACTTTGCTTGGTTATATGATTTAGCATTAGAACTAACTGGCTATAGGAAAAACATGTTTATGCAGTGAGCACATTTTGTTTCTTAGTTCAAATTAGCGGAACTGACATCTCTTACTCTCAGGAGAAGCATTTTTTATTTTTAGGTGCTATCTAGCAACTCCGGCACATAACCACCATATATGTGCACGCACAAAGAAATCATGCTTAATCCTCCATCATACTCAACATCTCTATTGAGCATCGGTAGGTCCATTGTTTCAACCACTTTGTTAATTCATTTAAAAGAGAAGCTTCTTTTCCTTCACTGACATCGATCTTCAGAGACTAACCCATCATGACAACACGCCCAAAGTGCCTGTGGTGAAATTCTCACAGTCTTCAATTGTAAGGAGCATACTGATTGTATTTCTGATATCAGTCCCATTCTACAGCAGTGGCACTATGCAGTATTTGTCCTTTGTGACTGAGATATATCAGATATATTTGTCCTTTTGTGACTCAGCATAATGTCCTCGAGGGTCACCCATTTTGAATAATATTGCATGATTAATAATATTACATGATGAATAATAGTGTTTTTCAATGCAGCGTAGTATTCCATTGTGTGAATATACCACAGCTTCTGTATCCATTCATTTGTTGATGGACACTTAGGCTGCTTCCAACTCCTTGCTATTGTGAACAAAGCCGCGATAAATGGTTGTCTTTCTTTTAAGGCAGATTTATTCTCTGACCCTCTACAATATAGTCAATAATCTTTGCAAATTCAAATACATCCATGTATGTTGGCCATCCTTATACATTGCCTAACTTTCTCATATAAATGAGGCAATTGGCGGTACTATCGCTTGAGTTAACTGTGTCTTTGAATGGGAATCCTTACTCTTTAGCATTTTTAAAAATATTTGGCAACAGATTTGTCATTGTAATATGTCATTTGATTTCTTGATAGTTGCTTTCATAGATATTGATATGGATACAAGTAAAATGAAATCCTTGACAACATCCACTTTCCCCCCATTTATTATGATGTTCTTAATTGCTTTATATATAAAGATTTTTTTCTTTCTCTTGATTTGTAATCCATTCTGAGGAAAATTGTCTTTAAGCTGCATTAATAAGTGCTTCAAATTTTCTTTTTTTTAAAGCAAGCAATATTGTGAGATCTACATAAGCTAGGTTGTTAATGAACCATCATTCTCTAATCTGATGACATATTCTTCTTGTAGTCAAGCCTCTCAAATTATTTTGTTAGCATACAGAATCATCAGTAGCTACATCATGCAGATGACACAACCGTGCTTATTGAAAGTGAAGATGACTTAAAGCGCTCACTACAGGAGATGAAAGAATACAATGTTCAAAATGGATCTCAATGCCAAGAAAACAAATTTTCATCACTGGCCCAGTAGGCAACATCATTAGGAGATGAAGAAAAGACTGAAATGTTCAACAACTTCATCTTGCTTGGATCCACAACTAACACTATTTGTACCATCAGTCAGGAAATGAGGAGACATATTTAACTGGGAAAGTCTGGGGTCGGAGATGTCTCTAAATTATTGAAGACCAATGATGTTAGTTTGAGGACTAAAATGCATCTCATTCAAGTGATGATCTTTTCAGTCACTTGCTATACATATGATCTGGACAGTGTATACAGATGACAGTGCTAGAGATGAGTCCTGAATCCCATAGACTGACAAAAGAACAAACAGTAGCTAGACTACTCCTTGGAGGCAAAAATAACAAAGTTTTGTCTCACATACTTTGGGCATGTTGCTAGGAAATACTACTTGGAAAAGGACATTATACTTGGAAAGGTGGAGAGTCAGCAGAAGAAAGGAAGACTTTCAACCTGATGGATTGACACGATGACTTCAGCAATAAACTCGATTATATCAGATATTATGAAGATTACATAGGTTAGGACAGGGTTCAGACCCTTTACTTGAAGGTAAAAATCCAGATTACAAATCCAGTTCTGTAATTTCAAGACCTAAATTCTATATTGCTTAATATTCATGTTCTGGCTTTGTTCTTCAGTCAGTGATCCCTTTTTAAAAGGAAGAACAAATAGTCTAACAACAAAACAAAAATAACAAGTGAAGACTAATAGGAAAGTGACAGAGATAATTTGCAAGTCATTACCATACCACCCTATAGCCAGAACTTCATTGGTTTTTAATGAGTCTCTATAACTGCTCTGTGCATAATTCTAAAACCATTGCATATGCTGTATAGTTTTGCCTTAAGCAACTATAAAATTCTAGGTCCTTAATGACATGGCTAGAAATTCCAGTGGTCAAGATTAGAGAAGAGCAGTGTTAAAGGGAGCCTGCAGGTTTAATTACTGAATAGTGCAGTGCCATGATTAGGAACTCCTGTCTACTTACTTTTGGTTCTTGACTAAGCTGAATGTCATTGGAAAAGGTACATCAACCCTTTTATTTAGTGTGGTGAGGATGACAGAACTTTGATTCACTTACCTTGGCTAAGTCATCAGGAAAGATCCATCACTAGGAGAGGACACTATATTTGGTAAAAATAGTGCTGGGTTATTGAACCAATGGTAATAGTGGACTTAAGAATATCAATAGTTAGGAAGATGATAGAGGTCTAGATACTGTTGTTCTGTTATACATCAAGTCTTCATCACTTCATGTGATGGCGAGCTGACTCATTTTCAACACCAGGTCTAGGTTTCAGTTCAGCATTAAAATCTAAATTAACTAGCAAAGTTTGCCTTCCACCAAACAAGCATCCAACATGTTATAAGTCAGCTCCTTTTTCAAGCATCTGGCAAGAAGAGCATACACCCTGAACTGTGGCCTTGATCTCAGGGCTCCTCTTCTTAGAGCTTACCACAGTTTCTCCAAAGCAATGCCACAGTCTTTCCAACACCATCATCAGGGTCTCGCCAATAAAGTCTACTCCAGTCTCCCTCTGATCTTGCCACCACAAGTCTTGCTCACCTCAAGTCTTGCTGCCTAGTGTGGGAAGTACTCTTTCTCTTATCCTAGGCCCACAGCTATTGGTGATTTGCGAGACCATGTGCGTAAAGTTAAGGTAGCCAGAAACCAAAGAGTGCTAACTAAAGGCTTTTTAAAACACACCAATTTTTAGGCTAATGCCAGAGTGATGATAGTATGACCAGAGAGCAGGGAAGTCAGGAGGATTCAACTAATCTCATGCAAAGTGTTCTACAGAACCTGGCACATAGGAAGTTCTACAAGAATGCCTGCTATCTTACCACCTTTGGCCCTTAATGCCCTAGCACCACTCAAGGGGACAGGCTGGATCGGCCCCACAGCTGTTACCTCAATTCCCCTGCCTCACTAGATCAATCCTATTCTACCATAATCATTAGCTGGGTTTGCTGAGAATTAAGGCTTCCAAAGTTAACATATTTGCTTTTCTTAAAATTAAATTTTATTCAAGTGCATCTGATCTGTCTTAGAAAAGAAAACATGTTAATCACATGTTTAAATATGCTTAATCTTGCCAGTAAACTTTGCAACCGGGCACTTTGATCATCCTAAAGGCTTAATGAATGAACAGAACTAAAATTAGAGGATTTGCTAGACAAATACAGCAGGCAAGGCAGGAGGGAATGCAAAAGACCTTTACTACATCCATCTCTTATTTGGTTTGTAGAAGCTCTTTACAACCAGGGAGTTAAAATCCTCCTTCCTATAATAAGTAGTTTGAGAAACCAAGAATGAATACACTGAAATCCAGTATGGTTTTCCAAGCATCTATTTAAGATCAGATGCTATGTATGTTACAAATCGGGGGGCGGGGGGAGGAATTGCCTTTTTAAAAAAATTGTTATTTTAATAAAAGTTTTCAGAAAAGTTGGATTTTTATTCATTCATTGTTGCACATTTTCCTCCCTACCATCCCAGTTCACTTTGTAAAAAAAAAAAAAAAAATCATTCATTGTTGATAATTTCCTCCTTCTCCTAACTCCTCCCCAAATCTACGCACCTCTTATTCAGTACTAATAAGTTTTATAAAGTATTGTGTTCTTTTGTTTTTTGGGTTGTTGGTTGTGGGGTTGTTTTTTTGTTGTTTGTTTTGTTTAATGAAATACAACGGTCCTATTACTTGTTTGAAAGCATTCACTGCTTGTTCACGCAGATGTGACTGTGCCCCAGGATACTCAGGCGAGCGTTGCGAAATCAATATTGATGACTGTAAAGACAACAAATGTCAAAATGGAGCCCGCTGCACTGACGCAGTGAATGGCTATGCCTGCATCTGCGCCACCGGATACAGGTAAATGCAGAAAGGTAGAGTCTCTGTCTTGAGTTAGGTCTTAACAGGACTCAATTGACATTGGCCGTTCAGTTACCCCAAAACAATGAATATGTATTTTTTGCTATTTACTCTTTAGTGGCTTGTTCTGTGAGTTTCCTCTACCCATGGTCTTCCCTGGTACCAGCCCTTGTGATAATTTTGATTGTCAGAATGGAGCTCAGTGCATCACCAGGACAAATGAGCCGATATGCCAGTGTTTACCGGGCTACCAGGGACAGAAGTGTGAAAAGTTGGTCAGTGTGAATTTTGTAAGCAAAGAATCTTATCTTCAGATCCCTTCAGCCAAAGTTCAGCCTCAAACAAACATCACGCTTCAGGTAAGATTCCTCATCCCTACCCTAGACTCCAAGAGAGAGTTGATCTGATACTGTGTAAAAGATTGGACATACAGGGTCACTTCTCAGTGATATTCTTAAAAAAAAATAAATTTAAAGGATATTTGATGCAACATCAGAGAATGTTCTTTGAGTGAAAAACTCCATTAATTCTTTAACATTTCTGTTTTCAAATCTAAGTGAGAGCCAGAATTTGGGTTTGTTTCAATCATTTAATGGTCCTACGACAATTCACAGAGAGCTCTGGTGGCTTAGGGGTAAGGATTTACATTGCCAGTCCAAAGGTAGATAGTTCAAACACACCTGCTGCTCCACAAGAGAAAAATGAACAATCTCCTGTGTGATTTTACCTGCCTCTGAAAAGCTACGTGAGGACAATGGGTCAGTTCTGACTTGCATGACAGATTACAGCAATGACATCAGAGTTTTGTTGCTCAACTACTAGCCAAAACGATTGGCCATTCCAACCTAACCAGGAGTGCTCCCCCCCCAAAAAAAAGTCTTGGCTGTCTGCTTCCCAAAGGCCATAGCCTTGAAATCTCTCTGGAACGCAGTTCTACTCTGAGATAGATGATGTCCTATTGAATCAAAACACACTCAGCAGCATTTAACACCATGACCAAGGCCTTTTGTTCAATTGTGGTTATTGCTTTGGTTACAGTTCAGGATTGTTAGTAGGGAAACGTGGCTCTGAGTACAAAGTTCAGGAAGAGAGCACTAGCTGATGTGACAGGTCACTTCAGCACAATATGCAACCAGGACCTTGAAGCTGCATCTGGAACCTTTGTGAACTTGCATGAAAGCACAGAACAGATTTTCACTTGTGCCAACCAATCACAGTGGACAACTGATCAAGTCTCTCCAGCATGAGTGACTTTGAAGAGCTTGCTGTTTTTGGCTGCCTCAGGTCGGAACTGACTCATAATTGACCCTACAGTGAGTTTACAGAGGCTGTAAATTGACAGAAAGAGACTGCTCATCTTTCTTCCATAGAGTGAGTCATGGGTTTGAACTGCTTGTCTTTGGATTGGCAGTGCAACTCCTTACCACAGGGCCACCAGATATCCTTAGAAGGAGCTTAGATTATATCTAAAAAATAAAAGGTTATAACTTCTGGTTTGATTTACTTGTGCTATTCCTACTCATAGCAACTCTGTGTGTCAGAGTAGAAAACCATACGGTTTTCAATGACTAATTTTTTTAAGTAGATTTCCAAGTCTTGCTTCGAAAGCTCCTCTGTATTGACTTGAACTAATAACCTGAAAGTATTAACCATTTTGCATCCTAGGGACCCAATGACTAGATTAGAGATCATTTTCCTGGGATCTATGGGGTGAATCTGTGTGCCTATTTTCTCTGTTTAGCAGAATATTTTTAAAGTATCTTGAATGAATATTTTGTCCCATTTCCCATGACCCACATCCTTTAGTTTATTTACACTAATGTTCAAGTAATGGAGAAAGGATTCTATTGAAATCATGATGAATGAGGCCGGGAAACATGTCTGGCCTTTTTGAAGAGCCAGCCTCCCTGCCTTCCAGAATTAATTTGTACCAGATGGATATGAAATGTGACAGTGATATTCCCAACCTGAAACCCTAATTCGGATTTAGCTACTCCTTCAGAAACCCAAAAGGTCTAGAGATACAGGTACAATCAGAGATACACACACACTCACCCCCTGTGTATTGAATAATTATGAAGAAAGAAGTTGGTATTTAATGAAAAATGAGAATCAGTGTTGAACATTGTTGTCATCTTTTAGATACACAGGAACGTCCATCAAAGAAGCAGGTAAGTGGAGATACCAGGAAAGATCTGAAAACATCAGAGCACTTAAGCATATGTTAGCGTCTTTTTAAAAACATGTGTGAATTATTGACACAGCAAAGTCATTTAGCCCTATCAAGCATCTTTCAAGTAATAATTTCAGCACTCATCTTTCTTGTTGATGACAGTCGTTTGGTTGATGGTACATCCTAGTAATGCCACGGTTGCCTCCTGTTAGATCGCCACGGACGAAGACAGTGGGATCCTCCTGTATCAGGGCAACAGACAGCATGTGGCGGTAGAGCTCTACCGGGGACGCGTGCGTGCCAGCTACGATACCGGCACTCAGCCCATTTCTGCCATTTACAGGTGAAGATCTCTGTTACTGGGAAAGGTGAAAACAATATTTTGGTGCAGAACCACTTCCCCCTAGATAATTTTTGGAGTGAGGAGTGAACAATTTGCTTATAGGGTTTGTGCTAAATGGACTAGCTAGGAGCTTAGTAAAAATAGTAGGCACGTTTAACATAATGCTGCAAATGACGGCAAATTATGTTTCAAAGCACAGTTGACAATTTAAAAGTGTGCGGCAATGTTTTAAGGGAGATCATTTGAGACGTGATTAGCGGAGGACCCTTAACAAAGATGTAGTGCAGAAACCGGGACTCGTAAGGAGATTGTATTATTCGGTGCTGTCACGTCGACTATGACTTATAGTGATCCTATGAACAATAGAGCAAAACTTTCCCCTATGTTGTACCATCTATCCTCAGAATATCCACCATATGAAAGCCCATTGTGATCAGTGTACCAGTCCATCTTGTTGAGGGTCTTTCTCTTCTTCATTGACTCTCCCTCTCTCCAAGGGTTATGTCCCTTTCCTAGCAACATGCCCAAAACATGTGAAACAAAGCTTTACCTCTTTGCTTCCAAGGAACGCTCTGTTTGCATTTTCTCGAAGATAAATCTGTTATTTCAGCAACCCATGGGATATTCCGTTCTCTTCTCCAACACCTATTCTTCTTCTGTCATTTTTATTCATTGTTCAGCTTTCACATGCATAGCAGGTGATTGGAAAGGCTTGTGTCAGGTGGGGATAGTAGCTCCTGAAGATCTAATTCAAGATGCCTAATACAATGAGTGGTTTGAACTTAACTTGTAAACATATTTATTAACCAACTACTGTTTGTCAAAAAAGAAGTTGCCAGTGATTTGCTTTATTTGGATCCACAATCAATACCCATTGCAACAGTAGTAAAAAATCAGAGCATATGTAACATTGGGGAAGTCAGACGTCAAGGATCTTTCCAAAGTGCTCGAAAGTAAGTATGCCAGTTTAAAGTGCACTTGATTGAAACCAGGGCATGTCAGTCTAAAGTCTAAGGTACAACTGCTTGCTAAGCATGGTCTTCTCAATTGCTTGCTAAGAAGCTGTCCATCTGAAAGCTGAACAATGACTAAAGATGACAGAACAATAGATGCCTTTGAATTGTGGTGCTGGAGAAGAATACTGAACACATCGTTGGCTGTCAAAAGAATAAACATATATGTCTTGGAAAAGGTGAAACCAGGTTGTCCCAGGGAGGGCAAGGATTGATGCTCTATCTCAAATACTTTGGACATATTGCCAGGAAGGCAATTACATGGAGAAGAACTTCATACTTGGAAGAGTAGGGTGTTAAAGAAGGAGAGAAAGACTTCTGATGAGATAGAATGACAAAGAAACTATGGCAGTGATTGTCAACTGTGCCAGAAAGGATGATGTTGGCTCTGGATAGGACAAGGTTTAGAACCATTCGTCATAGGATCCCTATGAGTCATGATCAACTCAATGGCACATAACAAGAGCATTTTCATTTGTTTCCTGTGCATCTGGAACCTGAGGATTGTATAAGGATGGCAGAAGATTTGCTATCTTTCACTTGTGGTGTTAAAGAAGTCTGTCTTGGAGGAAGGTAAAACAGAGTCCTCCTTAGAGGGAACGATGGTGAAACTCCAAACGTCAGACATGTTATCAGGAGAGATCAGTCCTTGAAAAAGGACATCATAATAGGAAAGATGGAAGGGGACAAAATCCAGAGAGGAGGACCTTCCATGGCTTGACACCGTGACCATAAGATGAGGTTGGGCACAGGTGCTGAAGAAGGTAAGGGCCAGCTTTGTGGTTCATAGGGTGGCTATGGGTTGTAGTTGACGAGATGTCACCTGACAATAACAATAATTGTGTACTAAGGGATATTAATTCTAATCCATAGAGATTTTCTTGTTTGGTGAAATAGAAGGCCAGGGAAACCTTCAGTGGGATGGGCTGATTCAGAAGCCACAACAATAGACTCAAACGTACCCAACAATCTCTCAGATGGCAGAAGGTCAGGCCATGTTTTGCTTGGCTGTACGTTAAGTCTATTTGTCAGAGTTGACTCCAAGGTATCTGATGGCATGCAGTCTGAGCTCTAGAGAATCAAAGTCCAAGTACTATGGATCTAAACATTATGAAGGCAGTCTAGATCATTAATGCTTATGGACGTGTAAGAATAATATTGGAGGCAACTAAATAATTCCATTGAGGAGTTTACTGAAAACGTATTTCTATTGGTGAATTGAAGCCATGACAGGGTGATACATGTGGGTTCTAAATCTTGGCAGACATGAAAGCCTACTCCTCTGATTATTTTTGTTGGGTTTTTTTGCATGAGACTAAACATCAGTTAGGGGGTGTCTAGTGGTAAAGAATTGTCCTGCCAACCCAAATGCATGCCTCTCAAGACCTCCACCTTCTCCTCAAGAGAAAGATGGCCAGTTCCTTCAATTTGACAGCACAGTTCCTATACTGGGTAATGCCAGTTCCCTGGCTTTCTGTGAGCAGCTCATTTCTTTGCATACTTAAACATCTGCTACCCCAAAGAGCAGGTGTCACAAAGTTATGTGCTTGTATTACAAGTCAATGTTTCCAACCACATAACTGAAATCAATCAAGAAGGCGAAGTATAAGAAGGAAAAGTCTTGACATAATCAGAATTTTTAGGGGAGCATTCCTCTGTGACAAATAGCCTTCTCGTTGTTGTTGTGTGTCATGGAGTTGCCTTTGACTCAAAGCAACAACCCCAAATGATGGAGAAGAAGTACCACGTAGGATTTTCTATACTGTAATCTTTACAGAAACAATCAGCAGTGACTGATAGAGGTTTTAACTTCCAAATTTAGGGCAAGGAGGTGAGCATTCAACCCATAGGTTCACCAGGGTATTGTACATAAAGCTTTCATGTTTGTGGAGTGATCGGCATGATTGTGACTGGTATAGCCTAAAAAAAATCTTAATCAAAACTTGATTGCATATGCTCACTTCTCCCTAGATACTTGCCCAGGGTTTAGCCAGAATGCTTGATTTGTTGTTTTGTTTTTTGGTTTGTAAAAACAGATGTCTGAAAAATGACGTAACATTTTCTTCTCCTTTAAATATCGATTGACATTGTTGTTGTTGTTATGTGCCGTCATCTCATATGATCCTATGCAAAACAACCCTAAACCTCACTTTAGCCTGTGCCAATCTCACTGTCTCTGACATACCTAACCCTACCCCAGTCACTGAATCAATCCATCTCATCGAGGATCTTCCTCTTCTGTGCTGTCCCTCAACCCCCTCAAGCATGACATCCCTCTCTAAGGACTGATCTGTCCTTGTAATATGTCCAAAGTATGTCAGACAAAGTTTCAGAATCTTTGCCTCCAAGGAGCAGCCTGGTTTAGCCCTCTCTGGGATGAACCTGTTTGTTCTCTTAGCAGTCCATGGTATATTTAATACTCTTCTCCAACACCACAGCTCAAAGGAATCAATTCTTCTATCATCCCTAGTCATTGTCCAGTGTCCAGCTCTCTAATGCATAACAAGTGATTGCAAAGACCATGGTCTATATCAGGCACACCTTAGCCTCCAGACTGACATCATTGCTCTTTAGAACTTTGGAGAGGTCTCTAACAGCAGACTTTCCCAACGCGGTATGTCTTTTAATTTCCTGGCTGCTGGTCTCAAGAGTGTTGATTGTGGAGCCAAGCAAACTAAAGCTTTTTACAGTCTCAGTCTCTTCACCACCCATCATGATGCTTCCAATTGGCCCAATGGTGAGAATCTTTGTTTTCTTGATATTGAGCATCAATCCTTATTGAAGGCTTCAGTCCTTGACCTTCTACAGCAAGCGCTTCAGGTCCTCCTCTTTTTCAGCAAGCAGGGTTGTGTCATCTGCATAATGCAGATTGTGGATGAATCTTCCTCCAATTATGATGCCACATTTCTCCTCATAGAGCCCAGCCTCCCGGATAATCTTTTCTGCACATAGATTGAAAAGGTCTGGAGATAGAACACATTCCTGGTGTAGAAAATAATATATGTGGTGAACAACGTGCATCTATAGCTCAAACATGGTGGGCTACCATTTAGTGGGCATTGATTAAGTTCAAAAATAAAGACAAAAAAACAGAAACCCACTGTCATTGAGTTGATTCCTACTCATGGCAACTCCTCGTCAGGCCTCTGAACCTGCAAATCCTTATGGGAAGATAAAGCCCTTTTTCTCTCTGGAAGCGGCTGGTGGACTCAAACCTATCACCATTTAGTTAGTAACCATACCAGCCATCCACTACGCCACACACTATGACATAAAACCACCCAATGCCATTGAGCCAATTCCAATTCATTGCTGCCCTCCACCAGGTTTTTGAGACTATAAAATCCCAATTGAAGACTGCCCTTTGTGCTCCTATAGAGTGACTAGAGTGAGCAGTGCAATTGAACTGCTCACCTCTCAGCAAGAACTATAGCACATTCACTACGACACTAAGGCTCCTTTTAAGCAGGGAGATAGTGTCCTCTACACTATTGGCATTAGTCCTGTAGCAATGTATTTTAGAAGCCTTGGTCCCTTGCTTGATTTCTTATAACACTGCTTTAAGTAGATGTCTGTTATAGTCATCAATATAACTTGATAAGTTATTTTGATGGTGAACTAGTCCACAGGAGAATTTTGAGAACATGGGAACAAAACAATTACAATTACTGGTTCCCAATTTTAATACAGTAGTTTTTTCATTTTCAAATGGCAATGAGTTAAAATCAACATTTTATATATTACTTAGCCTTAAATGACACCATCTCCATTTGTTTCTGCTGGTTTGAAAATTGCAAGAAAAGCTGTGGTTCAGTTTTGGTTTTTGTTATAGTCTATTTTGTTTTATTTCATAAAATCAAATAGCCTAAACTTCCCAGAAATTATAGCAAAAAGACTCTTGAGGCTAACTTACTCAAACTAGCATTGTCATAAAATATGCACAAAATATTCCTAAATATGCCTTATAAGCCAAAGTGATTATTTCCA